CCCTCATGAATGGATTAATGCTCTCCTTGAGGGAGGGGGGATTAATGAGTGAGTTCTCGCTCTATCAGTTCCCACGAGAGCTCATTGCTTAAAAAGACCCTGGCACCTCCCCTGTCTTTCTCTTGCTTCCTGTCGCCATGTGATCTGCTTGTACCTGCCAGTTCCCATGAGAGCTCATTGCTTAAAAACACCCTGGCACCTCCCCTGTCTTTCTCTTGCTTCCTGTCGCCATGTGATCTGCTTGTACCTGCCGGCTGCCTGCTGCTTTCTGCCATGAGTAGAAGCAGCCTGAGGCCCATGCCAGATGCAGCTGTCCCAGAATTGTAAGCCAAATAAACCTCTGTTCTTTATAAATTACCCAGTTTCAGGTATTTCTGTTATAGTAACACAAAACAAACTAATACAGTGAGCTTCCCTGTAGTGACCCTAGTGCCTGGCATAGTTCCAGGAACACAGCAGGCCCTCAAGTTATTGCAAAAATGCAGTCACATAAATTCATCTTTTCCCCCATGATTAACAGGTATCACAGATTGAAGGAGTCAGTACTGTATGGTTCTCTTTCCTCCTATTCCCCCAGCCTAGTTTAGAATCTGGCACATGGTTAGTGCTGGTCAAATATTTTTAAAAGTTATTTTGGTGAGAAACTCTCTGTACTATCTTTGCAACCTTCATGTACATCTAAAATTATTCCAAAACAAAAATTGAGTAAAAAAATTTATTTTATCTTCCTTTGGAAATGATTTCCTGACAGTTAACCATCAGAACCCTTGGGAAGTTCTTTTTTATAGCTCTTTCCATTGAGATCCCTGCTTTTTATTTAATAATGACATTTATTTTAAAAACATTTATATAGCACTTACCATGTACCAAGAACCATTTTAGGTCCTTTATAAATATAATTTATTTAGTCTTCATAATTACCCTGTGGTATAGGGTATTCCCTTTTTGCAAATGAAGAAATTAAGGTACAGAGAAGTTAGGTAATAGTGATCAGGAGGTACAAAACAGCATACAGTCTGGTCACCATTTGCATCTTTCTTGGGACTTTTTAAAAATTTATTTGTTTTATTTTTTATTGAAACATATTGATTATACAGATCTGTGGGGTACAGAGTAAACTATCAATATTTGTATACAATATGTGGTGATCAAATCAGGATAACTAACATATTTATCATTATAAAACGTAATCATTCTATGTGTCTGCTAATTTCTCCCTAGCCCCCCTCCCCCTCTCCCTTTCCCACCTCTGGTCACCACAGTTCTGTCCTCTCCTTCTGAAAGTTGGTGTATTATTGTGATTGTTCTCTTTCTTTCTCTTTCTTTCCTTCTTCCTTCCTTTTGTTCTTTCTCAGCTCCCGTTTATGAGAAGACATGTAGTATTTCTCTTTCTGTGCCTGGCTGATTTCACTTAACAGAATTTTCTCCAAGCTCGTCCATGCCGCTGCGAATGGCAGAATTTCATTCTTTGGGACTTCTTTTCTCATGAGCCGAGAATGGCCTCATTCCATTCAGCCTGAATGATGCGGAGAACGAGGTTCTGTCACTGGAAAACACCTTGAACAAGGCAGCTTCGTACAGTTCAGAGAGGAAGGCCACCACGTCTGCTTTCCCTGGACACTTCACAGGGGAAAGAATGGTCTCTCTCTCCATTGGTCCATACCTGACACCAACTTCATATCCATCCTCAGCTGCTGAGCCCACATCAAAGTCTACCCAGGCCGACATGTCAAGTCACCAATTTATTCTTGTTGGTAAGAGCAAGAGCCTGATTCGTATTCATGCCATGTATATTGTATATGTATTTCTAACTTTCTGGGCCGGCTTGTCCATTCCCAAATGTTTTCACTACCCACTCTATGCTGACCACTCTCCACTCTGACAACTCTGACTCCAGACCTTTCTCCTGAAATCCCCTGCCTTGTTGTACAGTGGGGGACCACCATCCCCTTGGTCACCTAAGCTGCCTTTGGAGCCTTGTCTCCCAGATCCTTCACTGATCCTCTCCTCCCTCATCATCCTCCCTGCAAGGTTCAGATAGATTACTTCTTACTCTCCGACCTGCAGCTTTTTCTCTTTCTTCCCCTCTTCCTGAAATAAGCTCGATCCTTTGGTCCATCAGGTGGGTTTCTATCTACTTTTTCATAGCTCACTCCAAAAATCTTCTCTTCTTGGAAACCCCCCTTGACATCACTAGGTCACAGAGAAGCTGCTTCTATTGCTGCTTGACATTTATGAGTGAATTAATTCCCTGTGCCACAAACTTAGGGTCTGAAATGAATCTGTACAACTCTTCTCAAGAGTTTCGTTTTTAATTAATTAAACCACACTGCCTTAAGTGTACAACTAGATGAGTTTTGACAAATATCAAAACTCATGAAATAAACACCTCAATCAAGAATTAGGACATTATCATCAGCCTGGAATGTTCTCTCGTGACTCTTTCAGACAATCCCCACCCCCCACCCCCAACCTCTCACCAAAGACTCAATTTGTTTGAAGTTCAGTTTCGTGTAAATGGAATCACACAGTATTCTTTCTTTTATTGCTGAGAGGTATCCCACTGTATGAAGATACTGTAGTTTGTTTATCCATTCTCTTGTTGGTAGACATTTGGGTTGTTTCCAGTTTTGTGCTAGTATGAAAAAAAACTGCTGAAAACACTCTTTTACAAGTTTTTTGTGAACATATGTTTTTATTTCTCTTAGGTAAATATCCTTTCAAAGTGTCTGATCTTGCTACTACCAAGTTATCAAACTCATTTTCCATCTTAAATGTTTTCAGCATCTCTCCATGGCCTCAAGTCCCAGTCCAAGTTTTCAAGGACTTCAATAAGCCTTTGAGGGAGCCATAATTAACCCCCAAATTCAGAAGAGCCAAAAGGCTTTCCCAAGGTTGTTGTTGCCCAGGGAGCAAAATTGCGCTGGAAGATAAGGTTTCTAACCCCAAGGCTCCACCTCGTTCCTTTCTGAGAAGAGTAATGCCACTGAAGGGTGTGTGTATTTGAGAGCATCCCTATCCCAATCCCACCTTTGGCAGTCCCATCAAGTCAGCCCACTTTTCTTCCCACCAGTGTTTCAGGGCCCTTGGACCAGCCTAAAAGTTCAGGGTTCACAAAAAACAGCAACTCCAAGTCCAATCTCCATTTCTCTCTTTTATCCTGTCACTGTCTCTGACAAATGAATATTGATCTTCCTGCTATGGATAGTCCAGTATACTTTAATAATTCTGCCTTGGAGGAGAGGAGATAGATACTTGAGCCACTGAAATATAATTCACATAATACCAGAATCAATCCGAAGGAAACTTTCTGAGTGTCTTTTATATAACAGATGCAGGGGACACAGAGATGACTAAGGTACAGCCTTGAGTTTCAGGGAATTCACAGCCTCGTGAAGGCAGATTGATCAGTAAATACTGAAAACAAGGGAGGCCTTGGCACCAGCTGTTAATGGTGAAGAGAGACTCCTATCCTGGAGGAGTTGAGAGTGGAAGTTTTCTTGGAGATGACAGCATTTGTGATATTCCCTGGAAGTTGATTTATTAAATTTTTATACTTGAGAAGGGAATAGTGTGAGCAACGTCCTAGAGGTGGAAGAGTTCGATGATGATTATAAAGGCAGTGACCAGGGGAGGATGCTGGAGTCTGAGGCTCATTCAAAGCAATAGTGGGGGACAGGGTGGTAAGGTTGGCTGGTTGCAACCAAGTCCCTGAGGGCCCCAACGGCCGGGCTGCACACACCCTGACTTCTCCTGATGGGGATTCTTAAGCAGATCCATGCTGGAGAGTTGAGAAGATGGACTGTGGAGAGGCAGAAAAGAAGAGCAACGAGCCTCCAAAGAAGTAGGGTTCAGATAAGAGATGACCCAGGCCCAGACAGTGGAAAAGACACAAAGGTACTTTTTCCCAGCAGAGATAAAGTGAGGTCTTTAAGAACAACGTTAGCAAAGCAGAAAAGAAAGTGGTTAGCCAGGCTCTGTAGATGGCAGCCCCAGGGATACAAGTGCTCATCCTGAAAAATGGTGGCAGTGACAAGCTTGTGATAAGCCATGATGGAGATGTGGTCAGGGCTGCTCTGGGGGACCTGGTACATGTCTGGGGAGGCGAGTGTACTTCTCCACTGGCCCAAAGCAGCAGGCCTGGCGAGATCAGCCAGGATGTTCTTTGTTGTTGTTTTTGTTGTTTGATTTTTTAAGTCTGTCTTGAACAAACAGACTCCTGGCAGTCAAAAAAAAAAAGGGAATCTCTCTTAAGATTTAATCAACCATTTCAACAGGAATTAAAATCAAGAGGATGACAACCCTCTTCTAGTGGAAACACATACAGTTACATATTATGTATACACTGTTTGGTGCCAGCCAAGGACTAGGGAGACCTGAGTTCTGACACTGCCACCTAACTGTGAGATCTTGAGGAAGGCACTTTCTGCTTTCTCTGGGGTCCTCAAGTTTCCTTATCTTTGTAACACCTGCCTAACCATCCTCACAGGCTTGTTAGGATCAAATGAAAATGCAGGTAAATGCAGTTTCAGAAAGGATAGGGTACTATTCAGGTATGCGATAGTCTCATTATCGTTATTATGATTGTTTTTATTATATGCTGCTTGCCAGGAAGGGAAAGTTAATGACCTGACCATCACTGTAACTACACCAGCATCAGAAAAAGTAAAACTACCACTGGCAAGATCTTGTTTGGTCAAAGAAAATTTAAATGCATAGTGTCCATTGACCCAAAAGCATGACATGTTTTTATAGCATTTTTCTAAGTAGCAATTTTCTATGAAAAAGAACAGTGTCCCTTGGCTTCAGGGTTTTTAGCAAGGCTTACTTATTTTTCCCTCTTAAAGAACTTCTAAGGATTTCTGGAAATACCAAATCACCCTTGAATCCTTTCATTTCCTACTAATTATCCACAGAAGTACTTCTGACTAATGTAATAGGCTGTATAACATTCTGAAAAACATTGAGCATTTACTCAGACAAACATTTCCAAAGAACCCAGACAGAGCATGCAACAGGAAGCAGAAGGAACCTCACAGGCTCCTCAACTAGTCTTTGTGTAGGGGCTCCTGCCTAAAGGGACATTTTGCTGGAAAGGGCCCCCTCCTGCCTTTTTTTTTTTTTTTTTTTTTTTTAAAAAGGGGGCACGCTTCTTGTGGAGAAAGAAAACCAGACGACATGCTGGGGGTGGAGAGTTCTTGGCTGTGTCTGTAATACCTATTGAACACATAGACTCCCCAACATTGCCCCCTTGAAAAGAACCGATGGTCCACTCACATGGGAACTAAACAAGGTCCCTACAATCCAGGACATTGCAGAGATTCTCGGGGTTATTGCAAAGCAAATTGTTGGCCATACAGCTCTGCTCAAAAGAGTTTTAGTTGTGGGAACTTCCTGTTTGATTTTATTTTCAATCAACAAGAGGGTGACTTCATGACTTCAACATCAATTCGATAAGATTATTCTGCTCCTCAGTGCTGGAGACACTGCCCTAAGCCCTGGGAAGACGAGATATGCACAGCCTTCCTTTGGTGCTTACAGCCCAATGTCTCAGAGTGGCTGGATTCAAGAGCAAGACATGATCACTCAGGGATTTCACACTTCTGAATGCTGCATGTCCAATGTGTTTGTTTCCATTTGTTTGTTTTTAAACTCATGATTACTCTTTTGCTAATCCTGGATGAAATAAGGAGTTGAGAAAGAATCAGGTTAACTCAACCTATGCAGGCAGAGAAGCAGGACATTTGCAACACCCAAACATGCACAGGAGGCCGGATGTTTTCTGTCCTGCTGCCTACAGTGGTCAGATTAACCTAAACCCATCAAAACTCTAACCATCCTTAACCAGCCCAGCAAAGGTTGTAAGATAGGGGATGCAGAGGGGAAAAAAAAAAAAGCCTATGATAAAAAGTTTGGTGAGAAATTAAACACACATGCTCACACACATACACACACATTTAAAGTGAGCATTGGGTAAACAGTCCTGTAAACCCATATGAAGGATACACAAGGGAATCCTTCTCAAGGTTAAATTGGTGACTAGACCAATTTTACCTTCCCTTTAAAAAACTGGCATTGATTAGTGAGTATGACTGCATGGGCTATTTGGAGCTTTAGTTTTCATTCCAAGAAACTGGCAGTGTCTCTCACCACTGATCTCCCCAAACTGATGGATGGTAGCAATTATGTAGAGTTATTTATGTAATGTGTTGTAATAGCAGCACACGTTGGCTGTCACTTTGACCCAGACACCCCCTTGCCCAATTATAAAGAAACCCCATCACAGAGCCGCCTTCAACAGGGGCCAGGGAAAGGAAAAATATCTCTTTACCTCACCCCCCACCTCTCAAGAAAATAGAAACTTTGAAAACCTTAGAGAAAATAATGCTCCTTTTGTAGGAATACTTAACAGCATTGCACAATATGAATTTGTCTGTGATGTGTCAGTCCATCTGGGCATTTATTCTTGCCCATTCTTGTAGCAAACAAAGGTTATGAATTTAAATACTAAACACCATTTTTTCACTCAATGGATGTTTAATGACTTTGTATCAAGCGCAGTGTTTGTCTGTAGGGAGATGCAAAGGTGAAATAGAGCACCACTGTTCAGGAAGCAAAGTGTCTGGCATCTTTAAGATGAGAACAGGAACAACAACCATAAAAATCAGCTCATGTATTGAGCACCTGCTGTGTACCAGGCATTGCACCAGGTGCTTCAACTCATAATC